ACGGGGTTTCACCATGTTGACCAGGATGGTCTCGATCTCTTGACCTTGTGATCCACCCGCCTCGGCCTCCCAAAGTGCTGGGATTACAGGCTTGAGCCACCGCGCCCGGCCTAGCTCTTGCTTTAAGGGAGACCTAGCCTGATGGTTTCTTATGCTGGAGAAAGTTGTGTCTTACTGAAATTTTAAGCTTTAAAATTAAAAAAAAATTTTTTTGGTGGATTTAAGGGTAGAAATGCAGTTGTGTTATGTGGATATACTGCACAGTGGTGAAGTCTGGGCCTTTAGTGTAACGTCACCTGAATGTAACATTTCATCCCTCCCACCCTTCCCCTCAGGCTAACCCAGCTAGCCTGAATCTGTGGCACCGGGTGGTCACTGGGGAAGTATGAAATTAAAGAAGGCACTTGATCGCCCGTGTTGCCCACTCAGCCCTCTTCCAAGTACAGTTTACTTCCTTCCATTCCTGTTCATTTGGCGTTTCCAGTGCCTGTTATTCTGCTCTCTATGTCTGAAAGTCAAAACCACATGTTCTCACTTGTAAGTGGGAGCTAAACAAGGAAAGGTCAAACTCTACATGAATTTCCAGGTGGTAGCATTTCTAGATCTGAGATTCGAGAGAGTCTCATCTTCAGGGGAGCCAGGCTTTGGTCACGGTCCTTCTACTGGGGGGTTTGAGGCACGGCTTCCTCTTTCATTTTTAAAAGAACTTCCCAGAGAATCAGCGAGATTCACACAGTACATCTCCCAGTAGGCCAGGGAGCATGCTCTAAGCACAGGCTCGGATGGGACCACCTGGCTTCTTTGCCATGCCTTTGGATGACATGCTGTGGGAAGTGGGCAGGGAGGCACGTGGGTCGTGTTTGGTGTCAGAGCCTCATTGAAGCAGGGCTTATGGAAGAGAAACACTCACAGGTGTGGAGACATTTGTGGAAAGCCCATGGCAACATTAGAATAGCAGTGCCTTCACCCAGGAGGTGCCACAGAGGCTAGGTGTACCTGGGTGGGTGAGGATGGGCCCAAAGTCAGGCTGCACAAGAGGGCTGCCATTGAAGGGTTCGCATGGCTGCCCTGGGACGGGCTTCCAGGCGACAGTCTCAGGAAAGTTGTGTGTTTTAGAATTTGCTAAACACTGTAAGAATTGGGTGTGGCCAGGCATGATGGCTCACACCTGTAATCCCAGCACTTTGGGGAGGCCAAGGTGGGAGGATCACCTGAGGTTAGGAGTTTGAGACCAGCCTGGCCAACATAGTGAAAATACAGAAATTAGCCAGATGTGGTGGCAGGTGACTGTAATCCCAGCTAGTCGGGAGGCTGAGGCAGGAGAATTGCTTGAACCCGGGAGGTGGAGGTTGCAGTGAGCTGTGATTGCACCATTGCACTCCAGCCTGGGCAACAAGAGCAAAAACTATGTCTCAAAAAAAAAAGAAAAAAG